GTGGAAAACAAAGGTTAAAAGTTGGAGGTACAGATCGATTCAAAATCACCCCCTGAGTCGATTTACCCACCCCTGTGGAGACATTTTTTTTTACCCCGTCGGCCATCTCAAAAGAGAGTTAGTGAGGGTGGAAAAAAAACGTCGAAATTTATAGGTACAGATCGACTCAGAATCATCCCCTGAGTCGATTTACCCACCTCTGTAAAGACGTTTTTTTTTTACTCCATCGGTCATTTTGAAGAAGGGTTAATGAAGGTGAAAAAAAAGGTCGAAATTCATAGGTACAGATCGACTCAGAAACACCCCCTGAGTCGATTTACCCACCCCTGTAAAGACTTTTTTTTACCCCGCCGGCCATCTCAAGAGGGTGAGTGAGGGTGGAAAAAAAATGTCGAAATTTATAGGTACAGATCGACTCAGGATCACCCCCTGAGTCGATTTACCCACCCCTGTAAACACTTTTTTTTACCCCATCGGCCATCTCAAGAGGGTTAGTGCGGGTGGAAAAAAAATATCAAAATCTACAGGTACAGATCAACTCAGAAACACCCCCCGAATCGATTTACCCGCCCCTGTAAAGACTTTTTTTTTTACCCCATCGGCCATCTCAAGAGGATTAGTGAGGATGGAAAAAAAATGTCGAAATTGATAGGTACAGATCGACTGAGAATCACCCCCTGAGTCGATTTACTCACCCTTATAAAGACTTTATTTTTTTACCCCGTCGGTCATTTTGAGGGAGGGTTAGTGAGGGTGAAAAAAAAAAGGTCGAAATTTATAGGTACAGATCGAATCACCCCCTGAGTCGATTTACCCATCTCTGTGGAGAAATTTTTTTTAACCCCTGTACAGACTTTTACCCCGTCGGGCATCTTGGGAATGTGTTAATGAGGGTGTAAAAACCACCCATTTTATCCAGAAGCAGTTTATCCCTTCACCTTAAAACCTCCCAATTTCCTGCAAGCATTCATCCCATTTTCATCCCTTCACTTCACCCCTAACCATGCCTACAAACACCATGTTTATAAACGCACCCCTTTCTCAGTTCCAGTTTCACCCTTCCACCCACCCTCTATCTTGACGCATCTGTCTAACCCCTAGTTTAGAAATTCACCCTTCCAGCACCATTTATTCCTATCCCCCCATTGGGATATTATCCCCCCAAAAGTGCCCCTCCTTCATACGCTCCTGATCACTTCTGCCGTGAAACTCATTTTTGCCTCTCCGAGATTGAGAGGCCACACTATCGCCATCTGTCTAAACTTCGTTGCCCTAAAATTGACAGCTGATCGCTTCGTATTCGCGAAGCTAAATTCCGGGCGTTCAGTGCATCGAATCTTTCCGGGAAAAATCGCGAAAAATGTAATAATTGTGTTCACGGGCCGGTAATTGGGTGTCGCGAGTGAGAAGTGGATGTGTAGATTGTGGGGAGTGTTTTTATTCCGCAGTGATTGAACCGCCATATTTTTCCCCAGACGATCATTGGAGAATTCATTTTGTGAAATCTAGGGGGTTTTTTTGAACGTAATTTACACGTTCATTTCTCAATTTCCCACCCCTGAGACCTAATTACCGGCCCGGCAAAAATAATTATCTGTCGATTGACCCTACCATTATATTTTTTGAGGGCCTACAGGGGCTGGCATTTAGTTACCCGTAAAACGCGTTTTTTCTAGGGATTTTCCTAGGGACATGTCGGGCAAAAATCCCCCCACCCGGGCCTTAACTTCGCGTTTTACCGCCCTCCAATCTTTCATTATCTTTTTATAACCATGCGAGTGGTTTCCACGATAAAAATTTGATCCCAATTTTTTAGTATTTAAAGCTACAAGAGCTTAAAAATATTTCGAGAATATAGTTCATCAAAATCCGCGTCGAAGGCGCGGATTATAATCAAATATGTTGCTACAATGCTTTTCATACCGTGTAGCATATGTTACTTTATACTACGAGGTTCAGCCAAGTGAATACTTGTATTGCCATAGGGCAATAAAAGTACAAGGGAAGGGAGGGTCGATTGACATAAAATATATTTAAACTAACATGATAGAGTTTAAAGAAAGAATAAGGTTTGGTGGAAAGTCCATACGGACCTTAATGCTAAATATTTGTTTAAATTCGACAAACGCTAAATTTTCTGAAAATGTAAAAATGTATTATTTGTGTATTATGTATTATTTATGTTTCTACTACTTTCCGGAAAACCGAAGATGAACAAGTTTTAATAATGGGTGCACAACATTTTGTGCTAATAAACTGCAAGTGATCCAATAAAAAAAAGATTCGTGAAAAAATTTTTATACTGAAATTATGTAAAATAACTTAAGGCCCGGGTGGACTATCTATCGAATGTCGAATGAAAAATTGTTGAAGGGCACTAAAGAACGATATTATTCAAAAGGGATCTACCAAGTTTACGCAAAAATAATAAAAATTACGCAGCTCACTATTGCTCTCCAGAAGATTGCGTGACAGCTAGATGTAATAGTAAACTACGTATTTTTTATTACTTTTTAACACACTTGGTAAGTTCTTTTCAAATTATATCGATCGTTAGCGTCCTTCAATAATTTTTCCTCTTTTTTTTCATTATTTTTTAATGTCCATTCCAGTGCTTCTCGCAACACAAAATTGATCCCAAATTTTAGTATATTTTAGGTTAAAAACATAAACTCTAAACAACGATCTAAGTCAACGTTCGATAGATACTCTACCCGGGCCTTAATGAAAAAATGACGTATTGCATAACGTTTTAAAATTTTCAAATAGTTTTAAGGGAATTAATAACAGATTCATATCATTAAATTTCCTGTGAAAGTTAGTAGCCACAGTGACCTTATCGAACGCAACAGCCTAAGTAGGCAATAAACATTGAAGCAGTTACTTACTTTTCTTTTGAATAACGTAAATTTGGTGGAACAAGCTTCACAAGCCATATCGTTAACCAGTTTGTTGAGAATAATTATATCAAGTAGAGTTTTATAGGTTAGGTCAAGATCCATTCAAACGCTGTGGATTTCACCTTTCTACTATTAAATAAAATCCTCTATTATTTCCAATATATCCAACAATCGGTTGTTTAAAACACTCACAACTCGTTAATCTCGCCGAATCTATAGAAACCGATGAAATAAACAATTGGTCGTGCCTGCGTTAAGCGATCAACTTTGTATAAATGTTCTCCTTGCAACGTTTAATGCGAATTTTCCAATTCCATGCTTATATCGCCTTGCAAATAGGAGTCAAATAATCCAACCTCTTGAAATCGTCGATATTCTCGAATCTTGTTTTTACACTTACAGTAAATTGACAGCCGGGGTGAATCTGGTCACCACACGTAACTGTTTATCCACTAAGTATATTAAGTATAATATTCAACAAGGGCACAGCCGAACGGGAATGAATAGAGGACATTTCTGTGACGTTATTTTCAGTTTGAGTTTGAAGTTGGTATTGTTTGGTCAGAAGATGTAATATTGTTTGCAACAGAGACTGCAAATTCATGTAGATAATAATTAAGAAAGGTGTTCCAATAACCTAACATGATTTGGAATTGAAATGAGACGTCATTGATGACCGTCGTGAGATACGAACAAAACGAACAGTTCGAGAGAAAAAAAAAATTATTTCAATAATTGGTTTTAAAATGCCTATTGTTCATGACCGTCGGTCGAAAATATATGAAAGAGGCAGTAAAAAATTGTACCGCTGTCTACAAAGCGGATTGAATAAAGTAGAGGCTCAGGGGAGGAATTCTGCGCGTTTTATGGTGACTGGTAGTTGGCACCACATAATTGAAAATTCATTAGTTTTTT